GGTTGCAGAAGAAATAATTTAGGAGCATCATCCATTTTGTTTCGTGAACTTTCCGCAAAAGATCCTTTAGCATATAAGCGACACTTGAAAATGACTGCTGACCAATTTAATGAGCTTTTGAGCATAATTGAGCCTCAGATAACCAAAAGAGATACTCCTATGAGGAAAGAACTACGTCCCAAAGAAAAACTAGAGGTTACGTTGCGATATCTAGCGACTGGTGACAGCTTTCAGTCTCTAGAATTGTTGTTTCGAATTCCTGCCACCACAATTTCAAGATTCATTCCGGAAGTTCTCCAAGCAATCATAAGTGGATTGCAACGCTACTTGAAGGTAACTTTTAGCAGGGTATTGCTGAGTACAATGATATACTAATAAAAACTTGTCATGCCATACCTTTATTTTGCATCTTCAAGATCGTAAATTTAAAAGTGAATTACAGATTAATGAAATAAATCCTTTTTTGGTTAATAAAATTGTATGTACGATAAATGAAGTAAATTTATTGTATAATTACAGTATGCTCATAGAAACATTTTTTTCTATTACTTGCGGTAAGCAATTAAAAAATTTATTTCGATTCATTCCGATGAATGGTATACAAAATTTAAACAATTTTTCCTCTGGTGTTATATTTTGAACATAGTTCGATACAATCGGGACGATATGATGTGCAAATCTTCGGACATTTTTATTGCTTGAGAAGTTACTGAAGATTTATGATGTTATCGATCATGAAGACATTGGAACTGGTAGGGCGTTCCTCTTCAATTGACAGGTGTGAAGATGTACTTTCGTACGGTGATGTGGGAATGATAAAGATAGGTGCATGTGGCGGCAAGGTTTCCAGCTTATCTTTGGTGATAAGGCTCTGGAATTTTTTCTTTCAATATCGTATAGTTTTTGACCTGGAGTGCTCTCATTTCATTAGCAATATGTTGGCCATATACATCGTATTCATCCAATACTTTTTGTTAAGTCGATGGTCTACTCGAAGAAATTTGTTGGAGTTTGTCTATTGCACTTTGAACTTTCGAAAATTTTGAAATCCGTGCCTTTCTGCAATTGGCGTGGCATTTTTTGTACTCTCGTCAATTGGGAGGCTATCATCATCGAGATATTGAAAATCTTGTTCTTCACTTTCATGTAAGACAATGACTGCTTCTTGTTGAACCTCATCATGTTCTTCAGCAGGGCAGCACTTCTGAAACAAACCAAAAGTCATCTTAAAATACAATTTGTACATGTTTACACTATGTTCTAAGCTTTCAATCTAGCTCGCTCCAAAATTATTATAATAGATTTCTTTTTGTTTTTGCAGATTCCCCAGACTTCGGAGGAGTGGAGACAAATACAAAAAAGCTTCGAGAGTAAATGGAATTTTCCAAGTTGCTGTGGTGCATTGGATGGTAAACATAAAGCCATCAAACGCCCACCTGGAAATTGTGCTGAATTCTACAACTACAAGGGAGGTTACAGCATAATACTGCTGGCTTTGACTGATGCCGATTGCAAGTTCTTCTACGTTGTGCAAATGGACGGTCTAACTGCAAATGGACGTTGTGCAAATGGACGGTCTGTGGGTGCAAATGGACGGTCTAACGATGGAAGCGTGTTTCGATCGTCTACTTTGAAATCTGCCATTGACAAAAACAGCCTGAATTTGCCTCCTGAACATATTATTGTAGCAGATGATGCCTTTCCCCTGTCAACAAATCTGATGGAGCCCTTCTCAAGAAGAAACTTGTCCGTAGAAGAACGAATATTCAACTACCGTTTATCAAGAGCTAGACGAGTTATTGACAACGCGTTTGGCATATTAGCAGCAAGATTTCGAGTATTTCGAAAAGAAATCGAAGTTGACATACGCACAGTTGATTTAATTGCATGCACTATTCACAACTGGTTGCGTACTGTATCGTCAGTTACATACTTTGAAAGGGGATGGGCTGATTTTGAAGACACTGAAACAGTTGTGCCTATGGCGCACAACTGCTATCGAGCTACCATCCCTAAAGGCCCGTTCACACTAGTGGCAACGACATGCACTTTGAGTCGTTTGCTGCAGTGCCTCACCGCGCACAACCGTTCACACTACGTTTGTAAGAGATAGCTCGAGACAGCGCGCTTTGAATAGTAGTTGCCACCTAGACCTAAATAAAATGTTACAATATTCGCACCAATATTATATCATTCTTTCAAATCGCTAAACGGTCTAATCGCTATAATCGCTAAAATCGCTATTATATCATTCATTCATTCTTTCAAATCGCTAAATTCAAATTGCATACATTGACAGGTGTAGCTAAAGTCACAGAAACTAAACACGTCATGTAAAAGTAACTTGCATCATTTGAAATCTGAATGTCTTCATCGAAAGTTGACTTTGACTGACGAAGAGCATCGCTGTCATTGATGAACATCAATGATTCAATTCGCTTAACCACCTGAATAGCCCAAAGGAGATCATGAACATTATTACGAAGCTTCCATAAAAACTAAGGGAGAGGTGGCGAACTTATACTTACAGGTTGACCAAGAATGCAGAGAACGTGACATTCCAGCATTTAGTGACATTCGTTCAAGAGGAGTCGGCTATCCTCAAGCAGCCTATTTTCGCGGACATTAAAGGCTCCGCAGAGAAGAAAGCGAATACTGGTAGCGGCGCCTTGAAGAAACTGTCACTATCTACAAAGACTGCAAACGTGATTGACGAAGATCCTGAAGTCTCCCAAATGATGTGTTCTTGTTGCAAGAAAAATAATCATCACCTGTCAAGCTGTTCCTTTTTCAGGAAGAAGCCTACAGGCGAAAAAATGAACATTGTGAAAAGGTTAGGCCTCTGTTTTGGCTGTCTCAGAGCCAATCATCTCTCGAAGGACTGCAGAAATCGCCTCACCTGTGCGAAGTGCGGGCGGCAGCGTCCCACAGTACTGCACGAGACGGTTGAATCTAACGGACCAGTCCAGCGAGCAGATGGTTCACCCCCCTCGACTTCCAATGTTGAAAAAGCAGAGACGCCACATCAAGGAACTTCATTCGTAACTGGGGCTGGTGCCTGTCCGGGTGTGAAGGTAAGATGCCCGGTAATCCCGGCGAAAATAAGTTTGGAGAACAATATAAAGATTGTGGTCAATATTGCGTTCGATCCATTCTCCGCAAATTGTTGGATCAATGAGAGCTTGATAAAGAGGCTTGGTGCAAAAACCGTCAAAGAAGATTTATATTTGACGACGATGGCTTGCACGAACCTCAAAACGCCTACACTGATTCTGAAAAACTTGAAAATTTGCGACCTGGATGAAACTATGACTGCAACGGTATTGTATTCCAAGCCTGGAAAAGACTGGCCATTTTCTAAAGAAGACTTACCAAGACGTGAAGATTTGGATGAGCTTTCGTTTCTGGACTCTATACCCTTTCGCTTCCCCGACGAGGAAGTTTCAGTATTGATTGGAATGGACATGCCTGGTTTATTAAAAACTCTGCAAACTGTCAGCAGGGAGTGGAACGATCCATTTGCCTCCCGGCACTGGCTGGAATGGGCGCTGAATAGGCCAATTTCACCTAAAACTAGAAAGGAGTGTCCGTTCATCGAGCGAAGGTCTATGTTAAAGAGAATGAATGAACGAAAATTTCAAGAAAATGTTTCAAGATTACGACACGACTGGTGAAGACACAGTTTGCAACTCAGTGGAGTTTCTGTGACTGCGAGTTCGAAGATGGATGACGACAATCATGACGTCAGTGATTTGCCTTTGAAAGTTAATGCAAAATTTCCAAAAAAACGTAATCAAGCCCTCAAAAGATTCAAAGGAATTGAGAAAAAATTTACCTGGAACAAAAATTACTTCGCAGAATATTCAGCCCTCACAAACGAGCAGTCTCTCACATTTCACGATGAAGAATTCGGCACGTTGATGTGCGAGGTCGAGGCCATCCTCAACAACCGTCCTCTGACGCCAGTCTCGAACAATCCCGATGATCCTGAGGCGCTGACTCCCAATCACTTACATCTTTTGAATGCCGGCGTTACATTCTCACCCAGACTTTTTGCAAGAGTGACACCTACTCAAAGAAGCGTAGGAAGCAGGTACAGTACCTGGCAGATTTGTTTTGGACGAGATGGCAACGCGACTACCTGAAGTTATTGCAAACTCGTCAAAAATGCACTACCGACAAGCGTTCCGTGCAGCCTGGTGACTTGGTGAGCGACAACCAGCTACCTCGGTAACCTCGCAACCAGTGGCCTCTCGGACGCGTAGTTGAAATAAAACCCGACGACGACGCCTGAGTTAGTCGCTAAGATTAAGGTTGCCAAGTTCAAAGATTCCTCTATTAATAAGATAGGGTGCCTAATAATCGAAAGGCCTATTCACAAGCTGATTTTACTTAGAGAAGGTTCACAAGATGTAAATTTAAATGGTATTTGAAATTTAGGGGCTGGTGTAATTATTTTAAGCAAGCCTTTTCTAAGCATAGTTTTTAATTGTCTATTGCTTATGGGCTCCTATGGTTTACTTCTTCATCAGACCTTTAGAGTGTAAAAGCTAGTCAACGACGTGTCAAATAGTTTCATGCTAACTCAGTTGTCCGTAGCTCGCGTCAAGTCTGCCCACAATATTTCGGTGCGTCGATTTATGCCTTCTTATAACTTGTTTATAGTTTTGATGATCATTTGTTATATTTGAAAATTATAAGCATACAATGAAGTTTTTAGGGTAAATATATTTATTTGTGTTCGTACAGATACAATTTTCATTCAATAAAAAGGAAATTTGTTGTTGAAACCGTGGTTATCCTAAAACCTGAACGCGGACCTACGGCAACCCAAACTCAAAAACGGAAAGCGCTTTTACAGATGGGTCAACCTTATACTAGTTCAACCATGTCAACACATCGTTGTCCCTCTCGGCCGCGTCTGAAGTGGCTGAACCCCTCTCCATACACGAGGCTAGTAGCGTGGACAGTTCAAGCGCCGGATGCACTAGCGGCTAGGACTATCCCTGTACAGGCATCTTAAGGATATCATCGGGCTGATCTAAATTACTTGCTGTAGCCATTGGGAGCTTGTGATACTTGAACCATATACGGTACGGAGCGATCAGGAGGAAGGCATTGTATAACTGTAGTCACTAAGAAATTGAAACTATCACTTCTTGTAACTCTTAACACTTTGGCTTACTAGTTACGGTACGAAACGCGAAACTAGGAAAACACGACACAATACACTAATTCGCTGGCACGGCCCCAAATTATGCTGTGGGCTCACTCCGAAAGCCAACTAGGCCCAAGCATCGCCATTTAAATACGGCTCATGATCGTAATTCCAACCCACTCCTTGTTCGTGTTCCGAGGGAATTCAAACTGCACTTGTATTCCTTATTTCCCTTATTTAATGTTTAAAGTTCAAGCCCTAAACGTTCCTGAAAACAAACAAAAATCTAATCAATAAAATTCTAAAGATCACAAGGTGCATACGAATGATAAATATTTACAACTAAGATCATATGAACACAGTATTCTAATTAAATCTATTCACAATAATATATACACGATAGTCACACTTAGAATCCTTCACTAGTACGAGACACGTACCTCCGTCACGTCTCCGCACCAAACAATAACTTCTTGATTTCTTGATTTTTCTTCAGCGCCAGCTAACAATGGGCATATGTGCCTTGATCAGTGCGGTTGAGTCACTTGTTCATAGTTGGTTCTGGAATCCGGTTGTAATCAGGAAGTTGATCAGCACCTCTGATGGGAATTCATCCCTCAGAAGGGCTTCCAGGGTGAAAGGCCACACCAGTCTCAGGCATTCCTGCCTCAGTGTCAGCCGTGACTGTCGCAGTAGTGGGCATTCAAGAAGAAGATGCAAGGTCGACCAGAGGCCATACTTTCAAAAGTCGCTAAGTGAACGTAAGTACTTACGTTCTATTTTTTTGTCTATGATTTGTGGATTTTGCTTGAAAGGCCGTCAATGATTGGCTGATAAACTTACGCTCTCTTAACTTTTTTGAAAGTATAGGCGCAGTTTGTGTGGCAGGGAGTGCAGCGAGCTGGCTGTCCTCCAGTGAACAGGTGCAGATGTGAGTTTGGTTGATCCTAACCGTGAGTGAGTGAGTCCTAAGTGAATTCTGGTGAGCGGCACTTGATGAGTGTGTTGAATGGACAGGTACGTTGATTGCCCTAGGTAGCTTTTGTACAATCGAAGTCTGCATGAAGAGTTGTTCCACTGCTGCTGCCATCGAGCATGGAAGTGCGCTGCGATCATGCTCTTAAGTTCGTGGTCTGAATGTAATGTTGCCATAGTGTGTGGCAGTGAAAGAGCTTCTCGTGCTGCCTTACGTGCTAGTTCATTACCTTTGATGCCCATGTGGAATGAAACCCAAGCTAGGATGAATTTGTTTGGTGATGTGGATAGATGATGGGTGATTTTGAGGACTAGGAAGTGCGACTTGGAGTGTACGTGTTGCTGAGCTCTGAGGGAGTCAGGAAGTATTATGACGGAGCCCTCCCTGGCTCCTGGGAACTTAAGTGCATAGAAGATGGCAAGAGTTCAGCAGCGAGAATATTATTATTTTTGTTGAGGCGAGGTTTGCGGGTGAAGAAGGCACTCCAGACACCTATAGCTGTTTGCTCATCCGTCTTGGATCCATCACAATACACAAGGGTGTGGGCAAGATACTGGTCCAAGGCATGGAACTTTCAAAACATCGCTAAGTGAACGTAACTTGTGCTCACGTACAAGAAGTTACGTCATGCGTACGCACAGCTATTTTTGGCACTTTCAAACTTTTGTTCGCAATACGTAACTAAGTTGGTACTTTCGTAACGCTCTGGCAAGCAGCCAATCAGCGTACTGGGTTTTGTTTACTGTTGTAGTCGTCTTACGTGAATCATCGGTGTATCGTGATTTCACAAATTTTGTCACTTATATAAGCATTTTGGCAGCATTACCCAAATTTAACATCGGTGAATCCCTTGGTTGCACAGCGAAATAATAATTTTCACGTGGCTTTTACTTTATGAACTGTCTAACTATAATTTTCTGAAGATCCACATGAGAGGGACAGGCTATCTTGCCTAGTTACTCTGTTACTTGTTGTGACTTGTGAGTTTGACCACAGATAATTTGATCATGACTAAGAATTGGATTTATTTCATGTACTAATTAGGTTTGGAAATTAGTTCCATGAATTCCTAAGCAGCTATCAGCATTGGAAATGTGTTTTCTTGATACTAAATGGCTTATTTAATCTGCAAGCTATATGTGTGGAAAAGGTGATTTTTTAACTTGGTTTAAAATAAAAAGTATATACTTTTCCAGTGAAATAATATGTTATTATTATCTGTACTCGGTAGATTGAAAGCAATATAGACATAAAACAGTGGCAAATACTTGTTTTTTACACCAACTCTGCTACTGCATCATTAACAGAACAAAACATGTGCCAAAACTTTTTAGCATTATTAACAAATTCTAATTAGTTTGTGTATGGGGATTGAACCTTACAAATTATGATTGAAAAGTTTTATATGGTACTTATTGATCTGCAAAGCTGCTAAGTGGTTAGCCTACCTATGTCTTATAGATGAAAGTTCACTTCATAACCATAATTTTTTTAAATGTTTTTTATCAGATGAAGTATTATGATTTCTCATAATTTTTATTATAATTAAGGCTTTTTCAAAATTTCTAATATAAATTTTTAATTCAACTGATAGTTTATTATATGCATTGACTCGTGTGCAATGTTTCTCAATGATTAAATCAACTTGAGCTGTTCTTGCAGAATTCACAGGCTAAATTGTAATGACATAGCTAAAACTAGAAAAAATTATTAGCTTAAACTTTCGGCAAAACACTTGAATCATTGACAATTCTGGATAAAAATAAAGCAAATTTCAAATTATAAGTGTGAAGTTCAAGGGACAGGTTATCTTCTTTGAAGTTTGAAAAATGGAAAAAAAGATGACCAAATTTCAGTGATGATGAACTTATGGCAATAGTAACTGCAGTTTATGAAAGGAAAGAGATTCTCTTGGGGAAGTTTGATGAAAATTTTAACCACAAAAGTTAAGCTGATGCAGTGGCAAGCTGTGGCTGATAGCGTAAACTGTGTATCAATTGTGAAGAGAGATCTGGCTGAAGTACGCAAAAAGTTTTACAACTTGAGAACACATTTGAAGAAGAAAGTGGCAGTAGAAAATGAATATATTGGAACAACTGGTGAGTGTCATTTAATGCTCATTTCAATTACCAACTTTTTACTTATAATTTTTTTTTCAACCATTTTTAAAGTTTTTATATATAGGAATATAATAAATTCCAAGCACCAAAGTGAAATTACAGGCTGTAATTTAATTTTTATTCATCATGTTAATTGTAAAGTTTTTATTTGAAAATGATAGATAATTTTATTGACAGCAGGGTTCATATCAATCCTTCCATGTTCTCTGAAAGCCAGTATATAATTCTACATTTCTTGATATTCCCTTGCAAAAATGACTATTCTAGTCTTTAGCTAAAAAAGAAGAGCATAGCAAAACCCATCCTAGAATGAGCCAAAAACTGCCAGAGCCTTAAATAATTTTGCATATTCTCATATCCATTTGCCTCAAATCCTATATGCAAAAAAAAATTAATTAATAAATATCCCTAATCATTTCCAAAGAAAAAATTTCCTGCATGACTTCAAACGTAGTCTTCAATTCTATAATAATCCTTATATTTCAACTTAAACTTAGTTAATTCCAGTGTTATAAGAAGTTTTCAACAATTGCACGGCAAACCTGTCTAGCAAGATCTCTGGCTCCTTCACCTTGGTCTTGTGCTTGGTGTGCTTCAACCTGCTCTTGATGCTAAAAGTCCATATGCTCCTCTGCATGATCATCAGCAGGATTTGGGATACGGGTACTTTGCTTGATGCACCGGTTATGGAGTAGCAAACAGGCTGCAGTAATCTTGGCCCATTTAAGAGGATCATATAGAAGGTTTCCTCCTGGTGGGATATATAGGGAGGACACTTGATTATTAGATACCTTACTCAAGGTATGCAGCACGAATAATTAATTAGAGTTAGTTTGGAAATGTAAATGATGCTACTATACCTTAACATACTGTTTAGGTAGGCATGTTCTAAAGGTAATTATATTTCACAAGGGTTAATTAATGGTCATTCAAAATGTCATAGCATTTTTTAAATTAAATTGCAATTAATGGATACTTGCCTGATTTGTGCAAGCACCTAAATCTGGACTTCAAGACTACAAATGTTTGTTCAACGATTGTTCTGGCTCTGGTGTGACACCTATTAAACTCTTCCTCAGCTGGCAATGCAGGGTTTGCAAATGGTGTCATCAATGATGGTTCAAGGGGATAACCACAGTCTCCTGTAAAGAAATAATGCAAATCATATCATATATACCTAACAAGTTATATGCTTGTTCAAAGTTTTTTTTTTCATGCAGAAATTTTCAAATTCATTTATAGGTAACCAAATGCCTTTAAATAATATTTAAATATATTTTTTTCAGAAAGCACAGCATAAAATCATGAATGAATTACGTAGTTTCAATTGGTGAATTAGCTCAATTGAGCATGAATTTATGCTTTTGACACAAGACAAAATGGACGGTTGGTGGTTCTATTTAGTTTTAATGTCTATATGTAATTAATACTAATTTCCATAGCAGGAAAAAACTTTTTATTCTTCTATATAAAAGAATTCTCGTGCCAAAAATGCCACTCAAAAATAAGTATAAATGTCTCTAAAGCACAGAATTTCATCATAAATAGTTCACTTTTACACTTTTCAAAACTGTAGCAACACTAGCTCAAACCAGCTTACCAGCTTGTGTTAAAATTAATATTCAAGTATTAGATTAGATGATTGTTTGCTATATAATACAGAATATGAATTCAACTTATCCGAAAGTATTCCATCTCGGAATTCAACATGTTGAAATCTGGTTCGGAGTGTGCTGCGGTTCCAGATGTAAGCATCATGCGTGCTGCCAGGGTACTTGACATCATGGTTGATAATTACTCTCTGAGCATCACAGACCACTTGAATATTGATTGAATGGAATTTCTTCCTGTTCACATAGATTTCTTCATCTTCAGTAGGTGCCTTGATTGGTATATGAGAACAATCTATGGCTCCAATGACTCTAGGAAAGCCAGCAATTGCGTGGAAATCTCTCATTGTCTGCTGGAGCTGAAGTATATCAGCAGGCATTTTTATTTCATTTCTAGCTCTTTCTGCTAGAATGTTTGACACAGATGTGATTATTTTGCTCACTTTGTTCAGAAATGCCACTGCTGTCAGCAACAATATTCTGAAAAGACCCACTTGCATAGAAACAAAGAGCAACTAAAATTTGGGTGCATACAGATAAAGCATGAGATCTTGAGGTGTCTCTCTTTAGCTGTGGCTGAAATTCTTGAATCATATCGATGATCTCATGACGTGGAAACCTATCATTCTTGATAAGTTCTTCATCACTCACTTGCAATAAATCTAATTGGTCTCGGTACACCCTCTCTCTTTTTAAGGCTCGTTGATACTCATATGCCAAAAAAAAAAGCTTCATAAATGAGGATAATTTATAATAATGATATTTGGGAAATGGATGTAGATAATGAAATACAAATAGACTATTGTACAAATGAAATACAAGTAGTATGCAAACTTTTGGAAGAATGTGCACAGTGCACACTAAAATATTGGTGTAGTTTGGCAGAAGCTGTTCTTTAATGCAGGTTTCGTTGAAGACCAGAGAGTATTTCTTATTGACAATTTTCTTATTATTTTTCTCGATTCGGCGAATTAGGCTCTTGATAGGAAGTGAAAATAGTTGGAGACCCACACCAGAATCATCATGAGATGCCCAGACGCCACAAGACTGACGATAGCTGAGGCTCTCATCATCAAGCAGGAGTCTCCAGCTATTAATTTGCAAACTAACGGATTTGTCAGGACGTTAAAATTGTTCTCGTAATTGAAGCTCTGATTCCAATCTGTATCCATAATACCCTATGTTTGTACTATGTCATTTCAAAATTTCAAATTCAATTGTTGCAAAACTCGTCCTCTACTTGATAATGAATGAAGTTGCATTCGAAACGTCGTAAAATTATAATAAAATGTCCCTTGGAAACCTGATATTTGGATTTTCACTTCCTATCAAGAGCCTAATTCGCCGAATCGAGAAAAATAATAAGAAAATTGTCAATAAGAAATACTCTCTGGTCTTCAACGAAACCTACTAAAATATTGGCATACTCTAACATACTGCTACATGATAATTTTAAACTAATAAATCAAAATTTATTTAGTTCACATAGTGTGTGACTTCTACCTCAATAAATGTATTTTTTATCTCCTTCTTTTGCCTGCCTGCTTTTGGTTTATAGGAGCATCCAGAAAAGTTATTCACTTGAACTCGAAGTGGTATGAATAAAGTAGGTAGGTAATATTGAACATGTATTATGCGTAGATGTTAAGAATGCGGGTCGAAGCGATAGAGCAAGTTTGTAAGGCGCGGTTGTTTCGAGAGCGTGGGAAGGAGTTTAGTTTACATTGAACGTTGGCGAGCTCAGCGCGGGGACATTCCATTCGAGGAATGTGGCGTCACTTCGAGTGGATAGGCTTAACTGTGCGCGGCTGCTGCGTATATAAGGACCTTAAAATTCGCGCCAAGGGTTTTTTCTACGAAAGTCACGGTCACGAGCACAGTCTGCAGCGGACTTTGCGACTGCCGCCGGCCGTTAGGACGGCGGTTTCTCCGTGCCGAACTTGGACGGTTGCGAGAAACTTAGACTCACCGCGGCAGTTACGATTCCTGTGAGTGCGTCAAACATATACAATGGACGGCTACGACTTCAACATATTATACATCAACACTACGGCTGCGACTCAGTCGTGAGACAACGCGAGAAGCCACGAGTTGTCCAGCGATTATAACACCTGCAGTCACGGAGACTCAACACGGCGGGGCAATTCTCATCGGTACGGTCATCGGTACGGTCACAGTTCTCATCAGAAGAAACAATACGGTCACAACCATCAACCGCAGTAAACCTACAAGCAATCTACGGCCAGACTGACCGTGAGACACCTATATCAACGAGATACGACAGTTATGAAGAAAGAGCAACTGTGAAGAGGGACGCGCGGCTACAGCTGCAGTACGGCCACTTGGAATACGGCTGCAACGCGCGGTGACAGCCGCAGTACGTTCGCTGAATATACGACCGTAAACGGGTACGCGAGTTACGGTCGTTTACAACAGTCGTACGGCTCAACGGAACTGCAATGCATCAGCATTTTACCGGTAACATTAGATGATTTTAATGATGTAAACTGATAGGTTTAGGACTTTTGATTGTGTTCGGATTACATTTTTAAAGTACTTGAGATTTTTGTTAACGTAGGATGTGAACTTAAATTTTCCAAATTAATGTGAAATGTATCAGTGTTTCATTACAACCCTCTCTTTGTGCTATTTTGCCGTAATCTATTCAACCGAGAACCTATTCACGTGCCGAAAATGACCACTTCGGACCAATCTGACGAAATAAAAGCGATTGCCGATAAAATAATAGTATAATAAAAATAGAAAACATCTCAAAACTAACTTAACTTGGAAACCCCCTATTTAATCAGGTATTCATAGACACCTATGTAAAATATTAGGAAGTTTTGCCCAGCACCCAGAAACTACATGTTAAAAAAGTTAATTTTATAGAATTAGAGGTCATATAGAAAAATATATTGGTGAGAATATGTCAAATTTGACGAATCACAACAATCTCTGGGTATCAGACTTAATGTAAACTTAGTAAATATACTTAATGTAGAATAGAATTATCAAGCTTGATCAAAATGCCATTACAAAGATCAAATCTTATTCATTGATATCTTATGTTCCACATCCATGGTATTATTGGTATAGGTTAGGTGAAGTAAAGATGAATACATCTACTTAATACTGATGAATGAGTGATGATACAAGGGATTCACCTAGCCTCTTAGATTTTTATCCTCAATTTGAAATTATAAGTAGTAGAGATCTGTATGCATCTACTCTAGCCTTCACACACAAATTGAAGCCTCAAAGGAAAAATCATAATAGGAACCATAGGCCAATTTTTTATTCAAGTGGTCATTATATTCAATAAAGAATAAAAATTTAATGTATGGCAATTGGCAATGTCACAATAGTCACTGGAATTTTAGCCTTGAAACTTTGCTTTTAATTTATCACGATTGTACTGTAGATTGAGGTTGGCCTTCTCCCCCGTGCTCAACACTGGATAGTCGATTCTAATAAAATTGATTCACTAATAGTAATAGCACAAAATTCGACTTGGTGAGGAATTAATGAAAAACTTTTGAAAAATTCACTGTGCAGTTAGCAAATCAATGATTCGTAATTGCTTTGGCGGCTTCAACATCTCAGGAGTTGTTTTTTTAGTTGCTTTCAAGACTTCGGGTATGAACAGATCACACCTCCCAGCCTGAGCACAGCTTGGTTTCCTTTATTAGAAATGTATATTAAATTGCCATTGATTTAATTGATTGTAGGAATTATATAATTAATCTTTTTCAAAAATTAAAATATTTGAAATTAAAAATTTAATGTTCCGACTTTCTTCAAAAGGAGAAAGAAGTAACTTAATGCAACCTGGAATTTTCATAAAAGGAGCACAAGGACCGCCGCTGGTTATGCTAGCGTGTCTTAATTCTCTATTTCCTTTTTTCAACATTTCATTATCTTGTCCATCCGCATGCCTATATGCTTACTTTTATAAGATTAGCTCAGTTAAATTAAAGTCCAGACTTCTAACAGCATGCGATTAATAACCATTGCTATACGAGCTGATCTTACTTTTCTAACCATTAACTTTCAACATTATTTGGCTCCTCGCCTCTTAAGCGGATCTATCATTTAAGGTAATGCATATTTATAATTTGTCTTTATAGTTCATTCTTTATATGAAAATTTATACTTCTTTGCCGATAGTTATTCAAAACTTTTCTCTTTATCTGCTTCAGAACAACCCGGGGGGCGATGTCGCGCATTTACGTGCTACCAACACGTATTCGTCCACTGCTTCCATTGATTTTCTAAGCAACGAAGACTTGAACCTGACCGAAACATTAATCCACGCCTTGTCAACTGGTTTCCAAACTGAACTTTTGATTGTATTCAAATTTGAATAAACAGTGGAGCATCCGTTGAGCTTGAAATTAGTTTCAATACCAAAACCTTGTACTCAATCTCTAGGGCCTTTCACCACCCGGCGGTTGTTGTATGGAAGGAAGTACAAAAGAATTAGGCACTGAAAATTTTTCAAAGGTTGTTAACCATGTTGCATCCCAACAGGTACTGTCCAAGGCGAAGAATTACTGCAGTTCTTCTTTTTTGAGGGATATCTCCTCCACCAAGAGCTGAGATGAGGTTCCAGGGAATCAAAAGATTCTCCAGAGCTGAGCGAAACTCCCTCCTCTGATCAGTGAAGGGCGAGCAGTGCAAGATGAAGTGACTAACTGTGTCTTCCACATTACACTCAGGGCAGATACCGGAATTAGTTTGATTGAAACGGGCCAAGTGAGCCCTTACACCAGCATGACCGAGACGCAGACGGGCCACAGCACATTCAACCGAGCGAGGTAGTGGTCCATAATCCACATAAGTTACCATTCCTCTTAAGCTCAGCCTGAAGGTTCCTTTCCCCGAAGACTGCACCTCCCCTGACCACCAAAGTTCAGTTCAGTTCTCTCCGCGCCATAAGGCGCACAAGGCTTGGACGTCACTCCTCCACTGGGTCCGGTTTGCAGCTGCCTGACGTGCTATGTTCCACGAGTTCCAGCCTGCTCGGTTTCTCTCCTCTTCCACCATTCGCCTCCAAGTTGTTTTTGGGCGTCCTCTCTTCCTCCTTCCTTCAGGTGCCCACCCGAGGGCCACAGCACAGTCGCTTGCTCTGTCCTTCCTCAACACATGTCCAACCCAGTTCCACCTCCGTCTCCTCACCACATCACTGATTTTCTCCACTTCTGTCATATCAAGAACCGACTTGTTTGAGATGTGTTGCTGCCATCGGATCTTGCAAATCTTCCGTAAGCATTTGGTCTGAAAGATATCTAGTTTCCTCTCTTCTCCCTTGGTTAGTTTCTAGGTCTCACATCCGTATAACAAAACTGAAAGAACCAGGCTCTTGAACAGGGAGGTT